CAGTAGAGATGGGGCCAATATAATCTCTTAGTTATGTCCTTTTTTTTTTTTGTCCTACCGTCTTCCTTAGTCATTACTTATCCTGAAAATAAGTTGTTTCTTTGCATGTAAAATAGTTGTAAAAACTTTTCTGTCTTAGGCAGAACTGCAGCCCAAAGATACAGCTTTGAGAACTCTTCACTAAAATTCTTCTAAAATAATAAAAAAAATGTGCCTCTCAGATTTGCAAACTGAGCTTAAGAAATTTGCAAAGCCCAGGTGGGGAAAAAAAAGCACATTTTCCCAGTCCTAATTTAAGACTTTCTTTGGGCTCCTTCTGAGATCCCTTATCTGGGAGAAGAGATTTCTGACTTGCTCGAACCAGCTGGACCCAGAGGTCTAAGGGGCACAAAGGAAAGTAACCACAAGGACCATTAAGCAAGCAAATGGTTGCAGCCTGGTTCCAGCACACTTCCAACATTGGTGTCTTTGCCTGGCTACATTCAACTCCACTCATGCTGACTATGGCATGACAGAACGTGAGTCACCTCTGAAGTTAAGCATTGAACCAGTTCTGGGACTTTACTGACAAATGCCCCGATTGGGCACCAATCCATTCAGCCCCCGGTCTTCTAAGTTACCAGGTGGAAGCGCTTGGAAGAGCTGTCACTGTGTACACAACAGCTGTTTGGAACCACTTTCAGACTTGTGTCAACTGTATTTACTGTCTGGATTCCCAGATGTAGCAGCCTTGCTATGGTGAACAAGTCTCAGCTGGAGGCGAGGTTGTTCATTTGCTTTTCTGTTCCCAATTTCCATTTCTTGTTATTTTTTTTTCTTTTAGGGGGACCCTGGGATTAATGGCATTAAAGGAGAAAAGGTAATTGGCAATTTCTCTGGATAATCCCTTTCTTATCTCTCTTTGGGCCTATTTTCTCTTTAATTTTAGGTCTTTCCCCCCCCTCCCCCGCTGCTGACTTCCTGGCTTCAGATCCTATTCAACAAATCAATGCTATGATGCTCTCTCTGCCGCCTTCTCCTCCTTGGTAAAGTCCTCTCTTTTGCTGATGTTACTCACAAATCTGCTACAGATACTAAGCATGTGTAAAACAATAATCATAATAGCTCTGAAACTGAGATTGATCTCTTTTCCTATATACTGTCTAGTATATACTATGTACTGCCTTGGTAAGGTGACACTTGGAATACTGCATCCAGTTTTGGTTCCCACAAAAAAGAGGTTGAGATTCTGGAAAGAGTACAAAGAATAGTAATAAAGATGATTAGGGGACTGGGGGCTGAAAGATATGATGATATGATGCAGTAACTGGGTATGTCTAGTTTAACAAAGAGAAGAACTAGGGGTGACATTAGAACAGTCTTCCAATATTTAAGACATTGTCACAAAGAAGAGGGAGACAACCGGTTCTCCAAAGTACTTGAGACAGGACAAGAAGTAATGGATGGAGACAGATCCAAGAGAGATCCAACCTAGAACTAAGGAGAAATTTCCTGACAATGAGAACAATTAATCAGTGGAACATCTTGCCTTCCGAAGCTGTTGGTGCTCCATCGCTGGAGGTTTTTAAGAAGAGATTGACAACATCTGTTTGGAATGGTAGAGGATCTCCTGCTTAGGCAGCGAGTTGGATTAGATTAGAAGATCTCCAAGATCCTTTCCAAGTCAGTTATTCTGTATTCCTGAAATTAAGTCTATTTACTAGAGATTAACTCAGTCTGCTTCTGCTCTCCTTTGACACCATCTCTGGTGGAAGCTTTACTGACTTAGAACCAGCAGAATTGAACTGGCCCGATCTAAATCTTGTTTTTTGCTCTCTATGTCTTCAGGGCGAGCCATGTTTGTCATGCATCCCACTCGGTTTTTTGCAAGATCTTCAGAAAAATAGGTCTGAAGAAACCAATTCAAAGTTTGGGCTTCCCGTATGTATAAATCCCTGAACTTCTTTTATGCCTTTAAGCCTGTGGAGGGATGAAGAGCAATAAAGAGAATGTGAAAGAGAGTTTCTGGCCCTCATGGATATAATGAACATTTTCTGTAAAGAGGGAAGTCCACGATGTTTATATCACGTTCTGGCCTATTTTTTGCTCATTGCCTCAGCCTTCTTCTGCAAAGTTGGCTGCTGATATTTAAGGGCAACAAATACTGTACATTAATATCCAGGTTGGGCTGATGGGGCATGGGGGTAGCTGTTCAAAAATGTTTAACTGTTTTAAACTATTTAAATGGGCCACCCAATTAAGTGACAGCATCTAGGATCCAATCTGGGTTGGTCACTAGGACCAGAGGTTTAGTCTTCCAAGATTTCAGACTCATGCTGGAGTGTATCCTGAGGGAACATCTTTCTCACCAGAATGTGTCATTTTGACTAAATGTCTAGTCCCAGTGACCGATCCAGATTGGATCCTGCAACATTATTGTGGGATCCATATATTTGCCTTCATTTGTGACAGTATCATTTGACCCGTGGTTAGAATGCAGTACTGCAGGCTAATTCTGCTGCCGATTACCAGCTGTTTGGCAGTTCAATTCTCACCGGCTCAAGGTTGACTCAGCATTCCATCCTTCCGAAGTCAGTAAAATGAGGACCCAGATTATTGGGGTCAATAAGCTGATTTTGTAAACCGCTTAGAGAAGGCTGTAAACATTGTGAAGCGGTATATAAGTCTAAGTGCTATTGCACTTAGGCCACACTTGGGATACTGCATCCAGTTTTGGTCCCCACGATGTAAAAAAGATGTTGAGACTCTAGAAAGAGTACAGAGAAGAGCAACAAAGATGATTAGGGGACTGGAGGCCAAAACATATAAGGAACGGTTGCTGGAATTGGGTATGTCTAGTTTAATGAAGAGAAGGCCGAGGGGGGACATGATAGCAGCCTTCCAATATCTCAGGGGCTGCCCCAAAGAAGAGGGAGTCAAGCTATTCTCCAAAGCGCCTGAAGGCAGGACAAGAAGCAACAGATGGAAACTAATCAAGGAGAGAAGCAACCCAGAACTAAAGAGAAACTTCCTGACAGTTAGAACAATTAACCAGTGGAACAACCTGCCTCCAGAAGCGGTGAATGCTCCAACACTGGAAGTTTTTAAGAAGAGACTGGACAGCCATTTGTCTGAAATGGTATAGGGCAGGGGTCCTCAACCTTGGCAACGTTAAGACTTGTGGACTTCAATTCCCAGAATTCCTCAGCCAGCAAAGCTGGCTGAGGAATTCTGGGAATTGAAGTCCACAAGTCTTAACGTTGCCAAGGTTGAGGACCCCTGGTATAGGGTTTCCTGCCTGAGCAGGGGGTTGGACTAGATTTATTTATTTATTATTTATTATTTTAATTTGTATACCGCCCTTCTCCCATAGGACTCAGGGCGGTTCACAGCATATTAAAAACAAATAATATACACAAAATACAAAAAAATTACAAAATACAAAAATACAAAAATACAGAAAATAAACCCCGATAAAAGCCGAATTAAAACCAAATATTACAAGCTGTGTTTCCAATTAAAATACTTTTA